GTGCTCTGGTGGGCTGCTGGACCTTGGTGGGCGGACTACATGTACTCCATGGAGCCCACGACTGGAAAGGCATACGGAACTTACCTCCCGATTCTCAAGAGCTTCATTTGAGGCTATTCCGGACATCGGGGTGGATACGTACCTTTTACGGGGTGCATATCGACGGAAGTGGAGCATGCGGCCGGCGCCACGTGATTTTGACGGCGGCGTTGTTGCCGGAAGACGCAGTTACCTGTCCGTGGACATGGTTGCTGAAGTCTGATGAAATTCTCAATGTAGATATTGATCGTGGGTATCCTGGCCCCTGGTGTACATATCTGGAATATGAAAAGCCCAGTTTCATTCGTATTTGCTGTTGCACTTGTGGTGATACAGGTGTAGTTGTGGATTCGTGACTAACTTTTACGATAAGAACAGCTGGTAGTTGAGGCAATCACGAATTGGGTAGTTGTCAGTCACAAAGCGATAGGTGAATGATAGCTGATGCTAGTGTTGGTTGATTATCAGCGATGCATGACCAAATCTCAGCTGTAAGATGAGGCAAAAAGTGAGCTGTCTCAATCAGGCAGGTGGTGGATATAGCTGACAGGATTCCCCACGTTGCAATTTACGAACGTGTCCTCTCACCTTATTTTGTTGGAATTGGCATCGCTGATCTCGTAGTCCGAGCCTCCAACAAGAGTCGCCTGCCTATATGATCCCACAAGTCAGAAGAGCCTGCCTCTCACAAGAACCTCACACATCTGAAAGTCCCAAGTGCAAACGCGGGGAATCGGACTTGTCAGAATTCAAGGCCCGGTGGCGTTTTCTCCAAGTTCCCAGCCACTGAATGCGTGGCATGTTGCCTTGGGTAGTTTTTGTCTTAGTCTTAGCACCCTTCCTCGGCTTCAGGCAACTCAACAGTTGCAATGTGCCGTCTCGCATATGTGCTACAGAGAGACGATAGAGAGGCACACAAACAGACAGACTATTTTTTTAATACAATGTTACCAGAGGAAGAGAGAGACCTTGAACAATGTGATAAATCATAGAGGTGAGGCTCGCCAGGTACAGATACAGGCAACACGCGCATGCGCAGACACCCTTGCATGACCCCGAAAAGGACCAAAAAGAGTGCAGCGGAATGCTACAGAAACTGACAGAGCTTTGGACTAAAAATTGTGCTATTTTGCAATTCGCCATCCCGCAGCCCGCTGGACCCCGAACTTAGCACGCCTTTATGGTAGGCCAGGAGGTACCTACCCAGGAAACCACCATCTAAATTGCAGTGCTGCACACTAAAAAGGTACCTCCCTCATCCAAGGGTACCTCCACCTCCTCCAACTCCACCCCCCAGCCAGGCCGCACACACACACACACACAACCAACCCACTGGACGGGCGCCGTTTCGACCACCTCACCCTCTCCGAGTGTCTTCCCCATCGCCCCCAAAGACGCCCTCGCCCTCACGCGCTAAACCGTACAAAAACTCGCCAACTCCACGCCGCGCCGTCTTCGCCTCTGCATCCTGCCAGCCTCCTCCTCTGCTCTCCTATTAATACCTTAAACCAACCAGCCCTCTCTCTCTCTCTTGCGACCTCGAGGTTCTTCGCTGTCCTCGTCCTTCTTTCCAATTATTCCCAATCAAACTCCCATTAGTTCCGTCGCAAACCGCCAAAATGGTCAGCCCTCAGATGTACGTTGCCCCCTCTGCGTTTCCATCCATCGCACCGAATCGCATTGCAAATCTCTGATTTCAATGTTTCCTTGCGCGCCTACAGCAACGACGTCGAATACCTATACTGACAATGCCGCAGCACCAACCTGATCATCATGCTCGGCATGGTGCAGGTCTCCCGCAAGGTCCCCTTCGAAGACCCCAACGTACTGAACATGTGCCGCGCCGGCTACATTGCCAGCAACATCATCATCGCCATCATCTACCTCTACGTCCAAGCTCAGATTAACAAGAAGAAGGGTGCGTTCACTTCGTGAAATCGTACAGGGTTATCGAAGCAGTTGCTGACAGACAGTAGACCTTACCACGCTCAAGTACGTCGAGCCCCCAGCGATGGGATCCGCCGAGGAGGGCAAGCTCGTCACCACCACCATCCACGCCTACGACACCACCCAGCTTCGCCAAGCCTTCCGCTCCCAGGCCATGGGTATCGCTATGATGGCCTTCATGCACATCTACATGAAGTACACCAACCCTCTCCTGATCCAGTCCATCATCCCCCTCAAGAGCGCCCTCGAGAGCAACCTCGTCAAGATCCACGTCTTTGGCCAGCCCGCCGCTGGCGACCTCAAGCGCCCCTTCAAGGCGCCCGCCGGCTTCATGCAGGGTCTCCAGAGCGGCCCCGCTGCCAGCGACAAGAAAGCCATCGAGACTGCCGAGCGTGCCGGCCGCGGTGGTGCCAAGGAGGAGTAAATGTCTGCTCGCTCTCGTCGCCCGTCGTAGTTGGTGCTTGGGGGAAAACGGACAGTCGTATTGTGAACAAAATACAAAATCAAAATAGGGGGTCACCATTGGTCATACAGGAGACGTTTTTTGGTTGCGTGCAAGGGTGGTCATATATGTTACTATACCCACCTGGAGGCAATAAAGGGATACGCTGGCACGACTGGGAAGTAAATTTTCCCAGCATGATGCGATTCTCTCGAAATTGAAGCGGCAATACTCCGTACTGGTCGCGTAGATGCTCAGTCTCGTCAAAATACAGCTCATTAATCCGCACTCTGTTCGTTTTCGCCATCTCTACCATGACTATTTCAAAGATACCTTATCTTACTCTGTAGCCTCCCAAAGGTACTTTTTATTAGCTCCAATTCGTGTCTGACAGCTCCGCCAGTTCCGTTCCCTCCTGCCACTTCGGTGTGGCTCGGTCACAGCAGCAGCAAGGCACGTGCGTTCGCGACTTCCGTAGTGACATAATCGTTTTCTCCAAAAAGTTGCCCCTCCGCGCGCACGAAGATTCACGTCTCCCACTTATATCCTCCATACCCGACCGTCTTTCTACACCACCACGACGCTTCAGATACTCTCAACTGTTTCCAACCAGACATTCGCAATGGTGCGCCCATCAACACCACCGCCAAACCCGGCAACGGCGCCGCTGCCCGCCAGGACCCCTCCAACACCAGCAGCAATCCGTCGCATGGTGAGTCAATGAATCCTCAAATCCTCAGTCTTCCTCGGACCTCCCCAGCACTAAACGAATGAATCCCCACCGCAGGAAGAATCCCGCCTCAAAGCGAAAGCAATCCGCGACCGCCGCGACGCCGAACTCGCCGCCTCAGGCGCAATCCCGACTCCCAAAACCGCCTCGGGCTTCGTAGCCACCAATGACGTCCACATCACCAACGCCGGCGCCTCCCAAGCGACAGACATTTCCCGCAAACGCCCACACTCTTCCATCTCAACGTCAAATCCTGCTGCTGCTGCTGCAGAATCGCACCCGTCAACGAACCGCGATGCCCGCGACACAAACGCCGCCCCGCGCCCGGCGCGCAACTTTGCCAAATTCGTCGACTACAACATGTCCGCCATGACAGACACAAAGGGCGGCTTCCTCACAGCAGAAGACGACCCGCACAACACGGCCCTCGTGCCCAAGGTGAAACCGGGCGGCCCGCCCCAGGAAGAGAAACCAAAAGGCATGTCCTCGCAGGAATGGGAGCGCCTCCAGCTCCTCAAGAAACTCCGCCGGCAGAAAGCAGGACCCTTTGAGCCCGGCCTCAGCGTCCTCGCCGACTCCACCATGCGCAAGAAATGCGCCGACTGCTCCTCGTACGAAATCGACTTTGTCTGGGACGAGATTTTTGGGATTCAGGTCTGTCACGCCTGCAAAGACAAGCTGCCCGACAAATACTCGCTCCTCACAAAGACGGAGTGTAAAGAGGACTATCTCCTCACCGACGAGGAACTCAAAGACGCCGATCTCCTCCCCCACCTCTCGCGACCGAACCCGCACAAGTCGCACTGGCACGACATGATGCTGTTCCTCCGTATGCAGGTGGAAGAGTACGCCTTCACGACGAAATGGGGCTCCGCCGAGAAGCTCGACGCCGAGTTCGCCAAGCGCGAGGCCGACAAGAAGAGGCGCAAGGAGGCCAAGTTCAGGGATAAGCTTAACGATCTCAAGCGAAAGACCAGAACTGAGGCCATTCGCAGACAGCAGGCCACCACGGCCGCCGGCGCGGGACCGAGAAAGTTTGGAGACTCGGTGGGCGGTGGCAAGCACGTTCACGATTGGGGACGAGCGGTTGAGAATGAGGAGGGTATGACGGTGAAGAAGTGCAACGGATGTGGCATGGAGGTCGAGGAGTTGGAGTTCTAGGCCTCATATTCCATGATTTTGTCCGCGGTCAGCAGACCTTCCTTCATTCACAGCAGCGACAGCAGCAGCCTTGATGATTTATAACAACAGCTTATCTTAATACCCAGAATCATACAATCATCTATTCTCTTCACCCGTAAAGAAGAAGCTATGTACGTAGAAACAGAGACCATGGTCCAGAGTCCACCAAACGACAGGCAAGCAAAGGGGGACGTCGGTCGGTTTGGTTGGGCTGGTTGGTGAAGTGTAAGGGTATCGACGTGTGATGAACAATAATGATGCCCCAGTACAATATTACAACAGGACGCGGATCGGCCGCGCCGGTCCACGCCCCCTTATCCTGTTCCATTTCATCCCCTCGTTTTCTGTCTTTTCCCTATCTGGCTCGCGAGCCCACTGCTGCAGCCAAAAGCCCCGAGAGTCTTATACTTCATGCCCAAAATACAAGTTGGAAAAAAAAAAAAAAAAAGTCCCACAACACCCTCTTCATCATCTTCTTCTCCCATGCTCGGACACAATCAGCTCGGAGAGCAGACCATCTTTTCAGACATCCATCCCGTAGCAAGTAATGACCCAAAGACAACGCCATTTCAACGGACGCTATGCTGCTGCTGCTGTTGTATATTTTCTCTCTCTCTCTCTTTTCCTGTCTCTTCCTCACTCAACCACAACCTCCGCCGTCTACCGCGCAAATACCTTCACCACGCCATCCCCACCACCGCTAACAACCCACTTGCCGTCTTGACTCCAGACAACAGAGCAGACGCCCTCACCACGCATGATGCGGTGACTCGTAATCTCCTGCGTGCAGGATCGCTTCTCGAGACTCCAGAATCGCAGCGAGGCATCATGGCCTGCGCTGACAAGCTCGCGGCCGTCTGGACTAAGTGATAGGCCCGAAATCGATGCCGGGTGGGCCAGCATGTTGTAGGTACATTGGCCTGAGCGTTCAATCAGCACATCATCGCACACATCTGACTTTCATAACTTACCGCTGTTAGCATCGAAAAAGCGGACGAACCGGTCCTCGTGTCCAGATATAATGACGCCTTCAACCCCGGATCCTGCCATGGATCTGCCTCCACCACCGGTTGGTCCACCGCCGGCACTGCCATCTTCCTCAGACAGCCCGCCCTGGGGCTGTTCCAAACCAACTGTTGTCGCAACAACAGCGTTGACACTGGTGTTGATTGAACCGTCGTATGTCTCGGAGCTGTCCATTGTGCCAGTCTGTTCACCTGTCCGGGTATCATAGACGAGAATGGCTGCGTCAGAGTAAGAGACGACGAACGTGTCGCCGCTAGGGCTGAGGGAAGTGATGCATGTAGGGCTGGCGTCAGAGCCATCCGGCCTCTTAATGTTGTGGACAAGCGTGTGGTTGAAGGGGGAGCTCGATGCCATATTGGGCTGCGGGGTGCTAGAGAAGGCACTTCCAGAACTCATCGAATTACCGCGGACACGGCCTCTGCTGCCCGTCGGACCAGCTCTGTTCGTTCCCGGCTGAGGTGAGGTCAACTGAGGCGGCGCGCTGACGGACCACAGACGGACAGATCCATCAGCGCCGCCAGAGACGAGCAGGATACGATCGGGGCTTCCGTATTGGCTGTTCTGGCCGAAGACTGCGCCCAATGTGGTCGGCAGCACGCACAACGCCCATACAGCGTCGGTGTGGCCCTCGAGGGTAGCCTTGGGGTCAACTCTACCACGTTCCCATACCCTGATGGTAGCATCTTGACCGCCGGAAAAGATCCAGCCGTCACCTTGGGCGCGACCACCGGTGGAGAAGTTTGGCGAAGGCGACCAGGACGTCAAACAGAGCACGCCTCCAGCGTGACCACGATGAGAGAAGTTAGCTGTCACGTCGAGATCTGACGCAGCATTGGTCTGGCCATGGTTATCGGCACGAGGAATGTGGAATCGCTTGATCATGCCATCATCGCCTGCTGTGCAGATCTCAGGTTCACCGGGGCTGCCACCACCAGAGAAGATGACGGTGCGTACGGTGTCCAGATGGCCTCGCAGGCCGAATCGAAGTTTGAAATTGCCCGTTTCGGCCTTCTGAGCAGCCGAATTCAATGATAGCTCGTGGTCTGCGCTGCGTCTCCGCGACATTGATCCTTTGCGGCGATGGGAGCTCGGTCCACGGTTGGGCGACTTTGGAAGATTGTCTGCGGTGGGGAATGCGTCGGTATCGGGCCTGTTGGTGATGTGCTGTAGAGATTGCGACGAGTTGGCATCGGCAAATGATCCGTCGGAGAAGTCCCAGCCGTCGGTCTCAGGGGCAGGGCGACTAGGTTGAGATTCTTCCGTTGGCTCTACGCTACTGATGGACTCGACGGCATGGCTGGGGCGTTGCATATTGTCGTCGAGCATACGGCCAGTTGCCGACATCGGCTGAGGCCATTCAGTGCCGGCGGCATACATGACAGGGGGTGCAGGTTCTTGTGCGGGGGGTGGCATTTGCTGTTGGTGCTGTTGTTGTGGTTGTTGATGCTGCTGCTGCTGCTGCTGTAGTTGCTGTTGCTGTTGCTGATCGACAGGTTTGACTTGGAAACTCGTTGGTTGACTTCGCTGCATCGGGGGTGCATGATTCGGGGCGGGAGGTGGGCGGTTGGCTTCGCGGACATGGTTTTGTGGCACAAGAGACGATGAGGCAAAGGGGAAGGGCGGCTCCTGGAATGGCTTACCACCAGGTACGCCAAACGGCTCGCCTTCGCGCAGGTCCTCGAGTATAGGGAGAGGGGGCGAATCTCGTGGTGGTAGAGGATTCGCCGGGGTAATCATCAGATAGGTAAACTCGGCCTGGCACTGATCCAGGAAAGACTTGAGGTCGGCCCGCTGCGATTCATCGTCGGCTTTATCGACGTCGAGCTCGCCACCATGGGCATCGAATGGTTTCTTGGAGGAAGCTGCATAACACTGTTAGCTAATGCTTCGTTTGTCATTTGGTAGAGCGAGGACTGAAAACCCACGTCGGAGCTTCTCCTGGACCAGGGCAGCGCGATCCTTTTCAGCATTTGCAGCATCTTCGCCTGCTTTGGCACCGCCCTTGAGCTGTGCAGCCTGGTCTTTAACCTTCTTCTCGAGAATGGCGACGTATTTCTTAAGTGCCTTTTGCGTTGCGTCGGCCCTTCTTGCCTGGCCTTCGAGGGAAGCTATCCTAGCCTTCATCTCCTGGCGGTCAATCTCCCAAGCATTCCTGTCCCGCTCGTGACGGTGCCATTCGGTTTGGAGGAAGCGCATAACACCTGAAGAGCATCGCAGTCAGTACAAATGACGAAGAGACTCAATGGTCGCGTTAAGCAACGTACCCTGTAGTGTATACTCGGTCGCATGAGGCTGGTTGCCGCCGTTGCCCTGCATCGCGCCGCCCATCTCGTTCCCTCCAGGCCCGCCCATGCCGTTGCCTACGTTCGACCCCATACCCGGAACCACCTGCCAGCTCATACGCGCGCAAGGGGGGACTGGTCCCCAACGGGCAGCTCAGCACTGCCGTCGAATGTGGGAGGAGATAGATACGAGGTGTGGGAATCGTCTCGTCGGTGGTCGTTACGCTGTCGGGATGGGTTCCTTCTCACGGATCGTCCCGCTGGGCGCAGTAGTCTGCGCGCCTTGGTATCGTCTCGAGGTGATGATGGTGCGTCGTCCTTACATCAGACGAGCAAAAAAGTCAAAAGGTATCGGCGGCGACTCGTCGAGGAGCTGGCGCAGCGGTCTTTGCCGTCGTGGTCGTGGTCGTGGTGTCGTGTCGTCGTGAGGTGGGAAAAAGGTGGTTGTCAATCCAAATCCAGGTCCAAAGCCCCTAAAGCGGTGGTCGGAGCTGTGTTTGGTGCTGTTGGCGTTGGCACACCCCTGGTCAATTCAATTGGAGCTTTGCTGCTGTCGCGTTGGCGTCTGTCTCTCTGTGTGTCTGTACGGTATACTCTGGATGGTCGGGTGTACCTGAAAGTGCTGCTGAGGTAAGGTACTTTGGAGTGAAAGAGTCCATGTACCTCGCAGCGGATGGGAAGTACACTCTGTCAAACGCAATTGGCCGGGTCGAGGGGGCGGAAAAACTACGTGTTGAATGGTTGGAACTTGAAAGGCGGCATGCCCTTGATGAAGTAGGAATTATCTCCCCAATAATAAAGAATACCTTAGATAACTTGGTTGGGTGAAAATTAGCAGCTTGGCTATAGAGTTGGCCGCAAAGATTTTGACTTCAATTCGGGCCAAGAGCACGGGCACAGAGACCTGGAGGGAGACCGTGAGAGGCATGTACCTATTCACTGCAAAAATGGAGGTATCTGAAGCGCTGCTTCTTTCCCATCACCTGTCTGAGTCTGACCTTGAGGTTCCTTCCTCACCATGTTCAAACTTCAAGGTACGTTCCTGGCTTGACTGCGTTGGCTCCTGCTGCCACAGGTCCCACAGGGCAGGCATTGTACCGTGCTGTGTGACTCGAGCTTTCCCCAAAAACTGAACAGCGACCGAGCAGTGAGCACAGGTGTCCTGCTCTTGCCGCCAGCCACTTGTCCAATCAGACAGCGCCTAAGAGGGTGTGAGGCTGTCAGGCATCAAGCCCTGCAAACCTGCAAGGTTCTGCCGTCTCTTCAGGGGCACAGGCCACATTGCTGCATCTCGATGGTTATGTAATAAAATCTTCCATCCTTGTCCGACGATAACCTCGCGACTATCTAGCGTACGTTGGTACCTTACTGTCGCATGCTTCCATTGAGACAATCGGGACGAGTGTCTTTTCCCACATCCTCAATATCTATGCGATGAGGTTGAGTTGAGTCAAATGTGGCGGTGCAACTGGGCTGCGATTCAATGCCTTGTACACCCAGCCCAGCCTCCTCCTGGCAAACAATCAGAAGTGGGCCTGGAACTGAACAGTGGAACGTAGCAAAAAAACATACAACACCAGGTATTCGCTGATCGTCACCGACTCAACTACTAGTCTGGCCCTCATCAGCTTGTCTATGGGAGAGCGGACGGGATCCCGAATTCTCTGATGGGTGTGGTCGTATGTGCTGGTGCTGGAAAGTTAGTCCCATAACAATGATCGAACAGCGCCCTGAAGCCTGAAGTAGAACAGCCTCACACTCCTACGCCTCACATCGCATTACACAACCAGTCACACGACCAACGTACCAAGCTAGATCATGCCTTGATATTCCTGTTTAAGACGGCGAGATAACGTCCCAATGGAATCATCCAACCCCAAGAATACCATAGACTCTGGGTTGTCGTCCAAACGCCCTCGCCCCTAAGCCTTTTCTGGTTCGTCTCAACACCCAAGCGTACCACTTATTACAACGGAAGGAAAAAAGAGAAAAGAAAAGGTTTGGGAATCTTGTCAGCCATCCACACGCAGATCCATCCATTGGAGCCCAAACGACTCCATTCGCATGCCTGTAATACGCCTCCCATTGAAAAACGTATTCACAGACCCCATTCTCCAAATGCCAAAGAAAACGCAGCCATATGTGCACTGAGGTATCGACCGTCGGCTATCGTGCCCACCGAGTCTTCAGAGGGACATATCCCCTCAACATCGTAACCATGCCTTGTAGCAAGGCCATCCTGCAAATGTGTATGGTGTCGAAATGTCTTATGTACTTGATATCGTCATGTCGTCATTGGGCCAGGTGTGAGAAATAACTACCCTCATCTGTCTGCTTCTCAAGCATACTGCTGCTCGTCCTGGCACGCGTCAATCACCCGCTTCGCGTTGACAATGATCTGCGAGAGGTTCTTGAGAACCGGGTCGTTGCCCGACGTGCTGCTGATGCGAACGAAGAGACCCTCGACGCGGGCCACCAGCATACCCATAATCTTTGGTGTAACCGCACGAGCGTCACCATCCTAAAGACTTGTTAGCATCGAATTGTTTAGACAGAAGTCAGAATGACTCACCATTTCGCCGAGCGAGACCTGGAGGCTGTGCACAACCATTTCGAGCCAGGCGATTCTCTCACGAGTGTAAGACTCCAGATTGAGACTGACCGTGGCAGTCACGGTTAAGAGGACGAGGTGCGGCAGGTTGCGGACGAATTCAGGGCTGTACTTGGACATATACTTTTCAAACACTTCCTGCTCACGGCCAGATTGCATCCAGCGAACGACAGCCTCCTCGGCTCTGCCTTCCTTCATCGGCTGGTTGACGACAGCAATGCGGGCTTGGAGATCGGCATCGTACTCATTGTTGGACTTGGCCACCGTGAGAGCCTGAGAGTGGCCGCTGTAGCTCATGGAGTGCTGCGAAGCCCTGTCAGGACTCTGCAGGTTGCTGTAGGCCTGACTCTGCATGTGGCTAGGAACCTGGCTGGGAACTTGGCTAACAACAGAAGGGGCGTAAGAGGGGGCCTGCTGGTGATGCGGCACCTGTTGAGGCTGCTGCTGCTGCTGCTGCTGGGCTTGAGCCTGAACACGGATCATCTGCTGCTGGAACTTGAGGAACTCGTTCTGGAATTGCTCCTGGGACGCCGCCATGCTCGAGATCGTGCCAGTAAGACGAGTCACGATGGCAGAAAGTTGATCAACCTTGTTGCTCTCGGCGAGGCGCTGGGCGTTGAGAGTCTCCATCTCAGTGCGGTGCTGCTTCTGGAGTTCACCGACCACTCGCTGGCAAGCCTGGGTCGCCATGTTGGTGAAGGAGGGAGCCAGGCGAGAGGTCAAAGTGTTGACGACCTCTTGCTGGACGTTGGCCGCCACCGTGGCTCCGACTCTATCCGAGATGGCCTTCACAAAGTCGCCATTCTGCAGCGCGTGCTGAGTCGCGGAAGGAAGGGCCTTGTGAATTTCCTTCTGAACGGAGTGCGAGACTTGGTTGTTCATGCTCTTGGTGAACTGGTCAGAAACAGCCTTGCCGGCGACATCAGCAATAGCGGGAATAACCGCGTTGCTGAACTGTTCCTGGATGAGGGCCTCGAGAACCTTTTGGGTGTTCTCGTTGAGGACCTCCGAGACCATGTTCAGGAGCTTGAGCTGGCGGTCGTCGAAGTCGGCCTCGCGAGCACGCAGGCCCTCGTCAATGCGGCCGTGGAGCGTCTTGAACGATGAGTTGAGCAAGTTGTTGAATCCATTCTGGAGGCGAGTCTCCATGCTGCTGATTGCTGATTCGACAGACTCTTGGGTGATGGAGTTCGAGTTGGAGTTGTTGCCGGAAGATTTACCCGAGTCCTTGGAATTGGAATTGTTGTTGGAAGGACCAACACGGGACGAGCCGTTCGTTTGCTCGTTGCCGGCAGCAGCGGCCGCCGCTGCGGCTGCTGCGGCTGCCTTCTTCTTGCGGCTCTTGCGCTCCTGCTTTTCCTCCTTGACAGGGGCGGGAGCAGGAACTGGCGTCTCCTCCTCCTTTGGCTCCGCCTTGGCGATCTTGACCGGCGTGACAGACTCGGGACCGCGACGGGGAGTGTTGTCATCGTGAGAAGGTGTGGTCTGCAGAAGGGAGTCCTTGGCAATGTTGCGAGCCGAGGGGTGGGTGCCTTCGGCATTCTGTTGGTTGGGCTCAGCGGGCTGGCTGGCGGGGGGCTTGAGCTTCGAAATAGTAACAACACCAGCGTCAACTGCGTCAACGGGTGCCAGGACCTTGTTATCCTTGGTCCAACCGAGCTCAGCCTGCTTGATCAAAAGGCATGCGACTCCCTTGGAATGCATGGCATAGAGTTCAAACAGAGTAGGCTCGTCGGTTTCTTGAGCCATAGCAGGGTTGCAGAGAATGTCGAGACTACGCAGGATGCCACGGTTTGCAAACGAGTATTCACGAACGCCGCTGATAACGGCAGTCGAGTCGGGCGCGGGGATGGTGGTGTCCTGGGCAACCAGGCGCTGGATGTAGTCCACCTGCGAAACGCTCTTCAAGTTGTACTTAGGAGCCGAAAGATGCGCAAAGTAGATGGAGTTGCGGGTCGGGTGCCCGATCACCAGCATGCCGGTAGGAGGGTGGTACATGACACTGCAAACAGCGTCAGACTCCTTGGTGTGGGGAAGGTTGAACTCTTGAACAGGTTTGCCGAGCGCAAGATCCCAGAGCTGCAGAGTGTGGTTCTGCTTCATTCCAATGATCATATAACGCAGAGCGCAGCGCTTTTGGTACGGGCGAAGCTTGTCGACCAGGAGAACAGATGTAGGCCACGCCTTCTCGCCCTCGGGAGTGCTGGTGAGGGTCATGAGAGGTTCCTTCACCTCCAGTGAGGTGTGTGCGGGAATGGGCGCACGAGGATCGCTGCCCTCCTTGGCGGCAGTCAGGTCACGGACGTCCCAGAACTTGACACGTCCAGACTTGTCAAGAGACACTATCACGCTATCGTCCTGACTGAACGTGAAGTCTTTACCGGCCTTACCGGTGTTGATCTTCAACGAGCACTGCTTAGCCAATCTCTCCGTGTCGACGACGCGGTCGTGGCCAGGCTTGAACAGGTTGTTCTGCATGATGTATGTGGGCCAGATGATGTTGATGG